GGAGCAGGGGACAGGGGTCTGCATTCCCCAGAGGTGCCACCCCCCCACCGCCTGCCTCTGTCCCCCAATCCTCTGGCCCGGGACCCTGCTCCCAGCTGGTGCTGACACATCTGACAGCCGGGCCGCCATGCATCCAGGCCCGAGCAGCCAGTGGGTGGGTGGCCAGGGCAGCCTGGGCAGGAAATGGCAGCGCGGCAGAGGGCCGTGGAATGTTCCTCCAGCCTGCACACTCGCTGGGCCCTCTGGCAGCCGGTCCAGGACATGCCTCTGTCGGGGGCTGGGCCCCCACACCCGACACCCCCCATCTCCAGGCCCCTGTGTGTACAGGGGAGGCTTTGACCACACGGCTCAGAACTGAGGGTCCCCATTCTCCCCTCGTGCCCCTCCTCGGTCAGTCCCTGTGTCTGCCCCCACTCGGCGCTGGTGCCAGCAATATGAGGGTTTGCGTTGGCTTTCAGCCAAACCCCGGAATGTGCCTGTTGGCTGCACGGCAGCTGTTCTTGGAACGGGGCGACAATGCACAGACTGTCTCTGAGACGTGGGCGGACGGGGTGCAGACTGCCCAGAGCTGCACACGAGCCCAGGCCCTGAGACAAGGCTGAATGGGCTCATACAGGCAGAGACACCAGTGAATGGGCTCGGGGCGTCCAAAGACGCAACAGAACCTGGAACCGGCGCTGGGGGCCCTGGACGTGGGACTGGGCCTATGTGGGGTGCGGGGCACAGGTGGCTGAGGGCACATGCTGCTGAGAACCCCGATGAATGGGGAGCAGAGCACCCCAATACTCAGACTTACGGGGACACATGGTCCGGGTGCTGAGGACGGGCATACGAGCGATGGCACCCCAATTCCAGATGGGCATGTACATAGTCGCAGGCAAAGGCCACGTTGCCCACATGGGCGACAGAGCACCCGGCTGTGTGGAGTCTTGGGGGGACAAGGCACCCCAATTTTAGGGTCAGTGGGGTTCACGTCTCTCAGATGCTTCTGGGATAGTGGGGGCTTCAGGCCTTTGAGGAAGGGGCACGGATCCCTGGAGGCTTGGGTGGTGAAGCTGAGAACTCATGACTAGGACACAGAGATGTGTAGCTCCCATGGCTGAGACAGCCACGGACAAAAGGGCAGCGGGCGTCCAAAGACACAGGGGAACTTGGAACCAGCACGGGGCCCTCGACCTGGGACGTGTGTCTATGTGTGAGGCAGGCAGTGGAGGCTACATTGCCAAAGACCCTGACAGACAGGGCACAAGGCATGGAGCCCTCAGGCAGCTAGAGAAGAGTGGGCTCGAGGGCTCAGTGTGGGTGCGCAGCGCGGAGCCCCCAGAGACCCAGAAACCCGGGGCAGAGCGCCCATTGGGGTGATGGTTGAAGTCCTCGCTACCCAGCGGGTCGGAGGAGCGGGTAGGACAGCCAGTCAGCTGCTGGACACTCAGATAAGAAAGTGCTAGAGCCCAGCTGTCTGAGTGAGTGGGTCCACGGGACCTGAGCCTTCACGAGAAGAGGGTCCCCTGCAGTGGGACCAGGAGGGAGGGCGTGTGTCCAGACACGTGGGTGAATAAGGGCTAGGCTCTTTGTCCTCAGGGGACGAGGGCACCCCTGCAGATGTGTGCGCTATCACCCACACTCTTGGAGGATTCTGGACACACACCACTCAGAAATGTGGGCAAGGAGCTCCCCTGCACCCAGGCTGAGAGCTGCAGAACGCACCACTAGCTCCCCGGGTGGAAGGACACGCCGGGGCTCGAAGGGTCAGAAAGCCACAGGCCTGATATCCAGGGCACCACGACATTCAGAGTGCTGGGGTCCACACTGCCCAGATACTCAGACAAGTGGGGTATCAAGGCCCCAGTTTCTCCGTCATCCAGATATTCAAGAGATGAACGTTCCCACTCCAGATCTGCCGAGAGGGTGGATGGACAGAGACTTCCCCAAGCCTCCAAGCCACAGGGTACAGAGACCCAGACACTCAGACTGACAGGTACCAGAACCCGCACCCTGACATCAATGGGGTAGAGGCTCTAGGTACTTAGAATAATGGGGTACAGGAGTCTCCATGTCAGATGGTTGAGGTGGAGGCTCAGCTCCTCAGAGGCACGTTACGGAGTCAGAGGAGTGAGCAGCTCTCAGACACGGGCGGACACACGGGCGGACACGCGGGCAGAGGCAGCACCCAGCAGTGAAGTGTGGCTCACAGGGCGTCCAAAGCACGAGAATGAGTCACCCAGCTCCGGGCCCTGGGCTGGCACCCAGGCTTCAGTATCATGTGTCACAGGGGATTCAGAGGGCTCAACAGTAGGGGAGCATGCTGTCTTGGCACCCTGTTGACAACAGGAGACCGAGAAGGGGCAGGTCACCCAGCCCTGGCTGAGGAGGGGCTGCACAGGCACGCAGGCCGCCAGGCTGTGTCCGGCAGGCGTTCTCAACGGTGGGGTGCAGAGGCGCTGATGCCAGGGTGCCCGGTTGGACACAGCCCCCAGACAAGGTAAATGGGGCCCACACAAAGCTGTGGGGGAGGGGCCTGGGCCACCAGGTCCCCGAGGACGTTGGGAGATGAGGTCAGTGCGGGAAGGACAGAGAGGATCCCCATCCTCTGATGCGGCGGCCTGCAGCACCAGCCATCTGCGGAGTGGATTACATGCCCCAGACTTCAGGTGAGGGAGTGGCCACCCAGGCAGTTCATCACGTGAGGTTTTCATCCCCAGAACCCAGATTCAGGTTCTCGGAGGACAGGCACTGAGCCCATGGAATCAATACCTGCCATGTTCAGAGGAGTGGGGTGCAGGACCCCATGTCCAAGATGGGGCAGAGCTTTCTGAAGGCTCACTGATGGGGTGCAGCCTCCTCCCAGAGGCTCGATGACGGGGTGCAGTCTCCTCCCTGAGATAAGGTGATGGGGTGCAGCCTCTTCCCAGAGGCTCGGTGATGGGGCGCAGCCTCTCCAGAGGCCCAGGTCATGGGGGACAGCATCCCCAGATGCCTGGTTGATGGGGTGCAGCCTCTCAGGATGAAGGGGTGCAGACAGCCCGAATGAAAGGTGACTGTGGCACACACAAGCTAAGACACAGAGCATGGGCACAGGGCATCCCAAACCACAGCGAGCTGTGGCAAGCTGAGATCCCCCATTCCCGGCCATCCTGCGCCCCAGCCAAAGAGGGTGCCCCAGCCCCGAGGAAAGCAGACATGGAGGGAGGCCGTCAGAGCGGGCGGGCAGGGTGAACACGCACTCACCCAGCACACGTCTCTGTGTGCCAGTGACTCCCGGCTCTCCCGAGCCAGCGTCTGCCTTGTGTTCCAACCTCAAACATTCCCCAGGCGACCTCAGAGGAAGCTTCCCCATCCAGGAGCCCCACCAGGGTCTCCATGGGGTTGCTGGCTGCCAAGCCGCTGTCTCGGGGCCTCAGGGCTGGCCTCAGGCTCCAGTTCTGTTTGGTTTTCTCCTTCCTGCCCTGGAACCTCAGACGCCCGTCTGGCTGCGAAGGCGCCCATATTCTGGGGAAGGTACAAAGCCCCTACACAGCCAGAGGCAGAGAATCTCGCTCGGGGCACGTAGCTCAGCTGTGCCCTGGGGCCGGCGTCCAGCCACCCCTGCTTGCCTAAAAGCCCCGCTGGGCAGCCTCCGGCCCCTCTCATCCCAGACTGGCCAGACTAGGAGACAGACCCGTGCTCTGTGCAAACACCAGAAGGATGTGCACATCCCCACACACCCAGGGCTGCGTGTGACCGGAGGGGCCCCGACACATGCATGCATGGCCTACACGTCCCCTGCTGTGGACCAAAAGCATCCTTGGAGCCCGGGCTATGTCCCCTGTACGTGCTACCTGACCACCCACCGGCCCGGGCCTGCTGAGACAGGTTTTCCCGTTAAGCATTAACCCGCAGCGATAAGGGCTCTGGGAAATGCCCTGGCCTGGGGGGGCCACTCCAAGGTGGGCCCAGCTCACGGACCTGACTAAACTGGCCGGACGAGATTAACCAGCCAGAGCAGAGTAGGGAGCTCAGGCTATAGGCCTTGCTTGGGGGTCCAGCTGAAACAAGGGACACTGAGGTTAGACTGGAGTGAGGACTTCCGGCCGCTCGCTCAGGGGCCAGCGGCTGAGGGGGGTCGCTCATTAGAAAACCAAGAACTCAAGGGACTGGGCCAGCCCGGCAGGAGACAAAGGCACGGAGGGGAGTGTCCTGAGGGTGCCTGTGCCACACTGCCCAGGGCAGCCCCCGCCTGGCCCCTGTCCTCCTCACACTTGTCCCCCCGATCCACAGCACCTGAGAGTGCTCTCTTCCAAGCCAGGCGGCCCTGTGCCTCGGGACCCCTCCCCGGTGTCAGGGCCTGCTCAAACCAGGTTCGACCAGTCCCCTCCTGCTGCCCCTCACCAAAACCAGCCCTCTCGGGCCCGTCACCCCCTCCAGCAAAGCTGGGTAGGACTCAGTGTGCCCCCAGCCCCAAGAGACCCATGGAAATAGACTGGAGCCCAGATGCTCGGCCCCTGGGCCTCGGAGAGAGAGAGACCTTCCTCCCAAAGGGAGTTTCCCAGCTCTCACGGGCCAGCAGTTCCGGCCACGAGGTGGGGCTCCTGCAGCTCTGCCCCCCGCACCCCTCCTCCCCAAGGAGAGCCTTCCGTCACCAGAGGCAGTGCTGCCTGAGAGCTGGACCGGCCTCCGGGTGCCCAGGGTCTGAGCGGAAGGCCTGGTGGCTGGCTGGTCCGGGGAAGCAGTGGGCGTCAGGTGAGTGTGTTTACACCTGGGGGCTACCAGCCCCCGCACGTGGGGAAGTCTTATTTTTCAGAGGAAGGACCCACAGAAAAGTGCCCCTATGGAAGCCAAAAGCATTCCACTTGCACTCACCATGGAGTGAGTCAAGCCCGGAACAAGTGCCTGGCCTTGGGCTGACAAGAAGTCTAAAGGAGGGGGCCCACCCATGTTCTGCCTGGTGGGGGCTGGGGGTCCCAATGGGGAGGGAACACAGGGTGGAATTCAGTACAAGGCGTCATGGCAGGTCTGGGGGTCCTGGGGTGACCACGGAAGGCTCCCTGGAAGAGGTGGGCTCATGTAGGCCTTGGAGGGCAAGCGGGGTGGGGATGCAGCTGAAGGAGCAGAGTAGCCACCTTTGTGAGGAGAGTGGAGCTGGTTCCAGAGCCCTAAGGAGCCTCCTGGAGTGGGTGTTCCGGGGGGGCAGGGAGTGAGGGTGGCCAGGGAGGTAGGACCATCTCCTTTCCTGGGAAAACATGACATGAACCCCCAGAGGAGGTTTTCCCAGCATGGCCACAGAAGATGGACACCCAAAGCTAGACAATGGGGAGAGCAGCCCGGGAGGATCAGGGAGGGAGGGCAGGGGGTTCCTGGGTGGGGGCTGAGAGGCCCAAGAGTCCCCAGCGCCCAAGGGTCTCCAGGCCCCTGTCCCCAGGAGCCGCGCTGGAGTCCAGGTCCAGCGGGGCAGACGGCGCCATCTGGTGGCCATGCGCTCACTGCACCTGCACCTCCTTGCGGTCCCGGAGGTCCAGAGGGACCATGCACCTCCCCAGGCCTCAGGACAACCCCCAGCACTAACAGCCAGCTCCCTCAGCGTCCTGGGGTTTTCTGGAGCAGCTTCTGGGTGGCTCTGTGCTCCTCTGGGGACAAGATCACCAGGCTGGCCCAGGAGTCCTGCTGGCCTGCAGCAGCATATCACTGCAGGGATGCTCTCCCCGCTCACCCTGACTGTTCTTAGAGTAAAGGAGGGGATGCAGCAAAGTGGGCCTGCAGGGGAGGGGCGCACGCACAAACACGCACACACGCCTGCACGCACAGGTCGAGATTCTGTATAAAAATCTCCAGTGAAGCTACTTTAATCTCAGCATGCGTACAGTCTCCGACGTTTCAAAAGGAGAAGTTGACTTTCAACTCCACATAAGGAGGCAGTGGCCTGTGTGAATCTGGCCTGCACAGTCCTGCTCCAGGGACCCTGCGGACCCAGCTCCTGCCGTCAGCTGCTAGTAGGGTTTCCACCAGCCACATGTGCGACACCCAACCCACCTGGGAGCGTCCCCCAGGGCTGAGGGGCTGCCGAGGCCTGTGAGCTTCCCTGCACCCCACTATTCCATCTGCAGGGATTCACCCAAGGGGTCCCCTGAATGGGACCAACTCCGTAACTTGTGAGGCCCAGTGCAGAATGAAAATGTGCAGCCTCTTGTTCCAAAATGAAGAATTTCACAATGATCACAGCACTCATTAAACCAGGGAGGGACCCCTCTAAGCACGGGGCGCTGTGCACAGGGTGCAGCCTGGGAAGCCGGCCCTGACCGCCACATCTCCTTTTTGTGCCTGTAATCCCTCCACCTGCAGTGCTGGCCCCTCTGCTTGGGGGACAGGCTGGGCTCCTCGGGCCATGCCAGCCTCCAGGGCTACAAAACTGGAGGTCCCAGCCTTAGCCCACTCACCAGTGAAATGCCTGGCCTGCTGAGCTCACAGGGCGTGGAGCTGGCAGGCAGCTTGGTCTGCAGGTGTGCTGGAAGCTGGGCCCTCCCCCACTCTTTGAGCTTCCCCCCTTCTCTGAACACTGGGGATGTGGGTCAGTTCTGGGAGCACAGTTGCCTGCCGGGCAGTGGGGCGTTGATGCTGTCCGTGTGTGTGTGTGTGTGTGTGTGTGTGTGTAGTCATGGTGGGGGTCCCTTTCTGTCTCCTTGCTCTGCACCAGGCTGGGGGGCTGCAGAGCTGAGGGGATCTCATCTGAACAGCTGCTTATTCCTGAGGGATGGCCCGGGCTGTGCCCATAAAGCTAGGCTGACTTGGACACTGCAGGAGGGGTCCCAGGCACTCATGGGCAAAGCTGGGGAGGCTCGGATGTGGAGGAACAGAGTCTCCTGGCCGGCTGCAAGGTGGACTCAGGGAAGAGCTGAGCCAGGGAGTCACCCCAGGCCTAGGGTCACTGTGGGCCCCATGTGGCACCCTGGTTCCCCTGCCTGTGGATGGGAGGAGCCAGCCCGGCCAGGTGTGCTCCCTCCCCAGGCCCTGGGCAGGGGGGTGCAGGGGCCAGCAGCTGCGCCCGCCCCACCCTCCTTCCCACCCACATGCCGAAGGGTGGCCGGGCAGGCAGGTGGGCGAGTCCGGGCGGCGGCTGAGTCAGTGTGCAAGGAATGTTCTGGCCGCTCCCAGCTGCACCCTGCCCCTACCTGCCCCCACCTCACCTTCGTCCCCAGGCGCTGCGGCCCTGAGCCTCTGCCAGGAATGCACCTTCAGCCCAGGCCTGCTCAGTGAGCCCCTGACAGCCAGCCCTGCTCCTTCCCCCAGGAGCCTGCAGACCCCTCTGGGCTTCCAAGTGGCTTACCATGGTGGGCCCCAGCTGTGGGGAGTCCTGTAGGGGCAAGGAAGTGACGGGACCTCAGAGATGAGAACCCCCAGGGATGAGATGGGACCCCCAGGCAGGGCCCAGGGTCCAGGGCCATGAGAGAGAGGCAGCGAGGGAGAGGGCTTCCTGGTGGAGGAGGCATCCTACAGTGGGGGCAAGTGTGCTCTGAGGTCCGGTGAAGGTAGGGACCCAGCTGCCCAGGCCCTACCTGCCTGGCTGGGGCTGGGGGCTGGGGGGAGGTAGCCAGGAGGCCGGGCCTGGGCAGCCAAACTGGAGCCTTGGCCAGGGTCCAGCGCCTCCCTCCCTTCAGCTTCCTGCCTCTCAGAACCCTCGCCCCTGGCCACCCCGGGCTGCCTCTTTGCCCAGGCAGACCCAGCGCTGGCTGCTGCCAGGCAGATGGGGTGGTGGGCAGGGGTTGGAGGGGCCACCTTCCCAGCTGACCCAGCCTCCTGGACCATTTCCTCCAAGCCAGCAGGGCAGAAAGATGGGGCACTCACCAGACTCCCCCAGTGTCCCAGCCCCAGCTGGGACCACAGCTCTACCCGGGCTCATTCCAGACCTCATCACCGGGACCCCGTGTGAGTTGTGGGACTCCAAAGAGGGGTGTGGGGATAGCCAGCCAAGTGGGGGCTGCAGCTGTCCCCCCACATGCTGAACCTGGCCTCCACCCCAGGGCCCAACTGGGCTGTCACTGCTGGCGCCTTTGCCTCGGGTGTCCTCCTCATCTCGGGCCTCCTCTGTGCTGTCTGCTGCTGCTGCCGCTGCCACAGGAAGAAGCCCAGAGACAAGGAGGCCATGGGCCTGGGCAGTGCCCGGGGCACCACCACCACCTGCCTGGTGAGGAGCAGTTCCTCTCCCGATCGGTCCAGAGAGGGCAGCTTGAAATCCAGGCTCCAGAGCCCAGGACAGCTGAGTGGGCTCAACCCCAGGGACACTTGACTCCCCCCGAAACAGGGGTGACGAGGGCCTTCCTGGCAGGGAAAGTGGGTGGACAGAGGTCAGGAGGAGGCAGCATGAGAGGTGGACTCAGGGAAGAGTGGGCCAGAGGGAGCCACAGCAGGTTCTTGAGGAAGGCCGGGGTAAACAGACACCACGTTTGGGGTGGGTTTGGTGGGTCTCACAAAGCGAAGCTGAGGGTTTGTGCCTGCTGGGTGACCTGCCCGGAGGTGGGGGTCTTGACCCATGTCCTGCAAGTGCTGCCCGAGAGCCCAGGGCTCCGATGGGGCATTGGTTGCAGCAGCACCTGGCCCATGTCCCAACCCACCAGGTGCAGCTGGATGTGGAGAGCCTGCAATCCAGCCCTGCGGCCGCTCAGCAATGGGGGTACCTGCAGCTCTCCCTGGAGTAAGACTTTGGAAGGCAGGAGGTGAAGGGCCACAGGTTCTGCAAGTTTCCGGAAAGGGTGATGGGTGAAGGGCCAACCCTGTGCCCTAGCTGGTGGGGAGCTGACAGGGCAGGCCCTTTGGCTGAGCCCGCTCCCCTGGCTCCCAGATCAGGGTGGGCCTGAAGCAGGCAGCCGACCTGAGGCCCGGGGGCACTGTAGACCCCTATGCCCGGCTCAGCGTCTCCACCCAGGCTGGGCACAGGCACGAGACAAAGGTGCACCGAGGCATGCTCTGCCCCATGTTTGATGAGACCTGCTGCTTCCATGTGAGTCAGGGCTGGGCGGCTGGGGGGACTGGGCGGCTGAGGGGTGCTGGGCTGGGGCAGAGGGCCTGGCTGACGCCGCTATCTCAGGTCCCACAGGTGGGGCTGCCAGGGGCCACCCTGCAGGTGCAGCTTTTCCACTTCAGGCGCTTCTCGGGGCAGGAGACCCTGGGTGAGCTCCACCTGCCACTGGGCACCATGGATCTGCAGCACGTTCTGGAGCACTGGTGCCCCCTGGGCCCGCCGGGTGCCACCGAGGTGAGGCATTAATCACCAGGCCACAGCCCCTCCTGCAGCCCGAGGCAGAGCTGGCAGGGACCCTGCCCTGTGGGACATGGGAGGGACTGAGGCCTGACGGGCAACAACTTGGCCAGAAGGCCACCTTGGCCAGGATGGCCCTCCGGAGCTGAAGCCCTCTCGCTGCCCGCAGCCCTAGCAGGTGGGGGAGCTGTGCTGCTTCCTCCGGTATGTGCCGGGCTCGGGCCGGCTAACCGTGGTGGTGCTGGAGGCCCGAGGCCTGCGTCCAGGACTGGCAGGTGAGGGTCACACGTGCCCACGCTGGTGTACAAAGGTGGGACCCTGTGCTCAGCCTCAGCCCGGGTCAGCGTCTCCACCTCCGGCCCCTCTTGCCTGCCCAGAGCCCTACGTGAAGGTCCAGCTCATGCTGAACCAGAGGAAGTGGAAGAAGAAAAAGACAGCTGGCAAAAAGGGCACGGCTGCCCCTACTTCAACGAGGCCTTCACCTTCCGGGTGCCCTTCAGCCAGGTCCAGGTGGGCTGCCGGGAGGCAGGGACAGATCGGGACCCAGTGCCAGACCCTGCTGACCACGGTCTTTCTCCCCCAACCCCGCCCCGTGGCCTGTCTCTGCACAGAATGTGGACCTGGTGCTGGCTGTCTGGGACGGTGGCCCGAAGCTCCGGGCCGAGCCCGTGGGCAAGGTGCATCTGGGTACCCAGACCTCGGGGCAGCCCCTGCAGCACTGGGTGGACATGCTGGCCCACGCCCAGCAGCCCGTGGTCCAGTGGCACCCCCTGCGGCCGGTCAGGGAGGTGGACCGAGCACTGGCTCTGCAGCCCCGCCTGCGCCTGCCCCTGCCCTGCTCAGGAACACACCATGAGCCTCGGTCTCCCCGCTGAGCCCGGCCACTTGCCCAGGCTGCCCTGTGGGACCACTACAATAAACGCCTTCTCCTGCCACTGTGTGTCTGGCTGGAGCCTGAGGGGACGCAGACACAGGGCTTGGCTCCAGTCACCAGGGCCCCCCACAAGGACGGGGGAGGGGCTCCTCTCCAGTCTCAGCCAGGCCCTGAGGCCTCTGACCCATCCCTGCTGGGCCGCCGGGTAGGGGTGAGGAACCTCCCCAGGAGCACAGATTCCCCACCTCCCTGCCCACACTCTGGTTCCCCCCCACCATCACCTCCTGGGCCACCTGGGAAGACCAGGGAAGTGGGGTCCAGAGAGTCAGGCCAGCTGGGATGGGGCAGGCTGGAGGCATCCTCGTAGGGACACAGCTCGGCAGGGCCTTCCCTCGTGAGCAGCAGGGGGCAGCAGATGCCTTCGGAAGGCGCCGAGGCCTTTAGGGGCTCCGCCCTGGCCGCTTCCCCTCTCCGTCCCCCACACATCTGGGCTGCCTTAGCGGCTGGAGCCTCCACGCTGCTGTCTCCTCTGATCCTCCCCATGGGGTTGGGGCCAAGAGCCCCCGCTCCGAGAGGGTGCCAAGTCACGGTCCCGGGGCCTCTGCAGGGTGGGGGCTGCGGAGATGGGGGGAACCAGGGCCTCGGGCCTGGGTGAGAAGGGCAGTGCCGGGCCTGCCCGGGCAGCCAGGCGGGCCCCAAGCCCCCTCGGGTCAGAAAGGCTCCCAACGCGGGTGGCGCCACCCTCCTTAGGCTGAAGGATGTGTTCCAAGTCTCTGGAGGGGACGGTGGCAAGGCGTTCCAGGCAGGCTGGGAGGGGCCCAGCGCGTGTACAGCGAGCCCCTCACTCCCAGTCCCGCTCCCCAGGCAGGAAGACAGCTTCACGCAGGGAGGGGGCAGTCCCCAGCCGTCGGCCGCTGTGGCAGGGCCTGGGAGGCCTCACCCCAGGAGCCAGGCTTGCAGAAGGGGGTCAGGCGTGGGCTGAAGCGGGGAACGGCCCACTGCAGGGGCCCGGTGGGGGAGCCGGCCCAGCAGAGAAGCTGTGGCTGAACCCAGCAGGCAGCCCTGTTGGTGAGCTGGACGCCGACCTCGGGCGAGGTGGGGTGAGGTGTGCATCCTTGAAGGGTGACCTGAGCCGTGTGCCCGGCCGACACCACAGGCAGAGCCAGGCACCAGTGTCCTCAGGCTCCTTACAAGAACCGCAGAGGCATCTCCAGCGCGTCACTGAGCCCTAAATAGAGCCGCCCAGCCGCGGCGCCTCACCAAGACTTCTTGGACTGGGCAGCAGCACGCGGCCAGGCCAGGCAGCCGGACAGGTGGGGAGGTCTCTGCTGCTTCCTCGCCCCCATTGGTCTGAGGAGGACTCCATGCCCTTTCTGAGCAGGGGCCCAGCCTAGGGGAGGCCATTTATACCCCTCCCCCTGGGCCCACCAGCCCAACTTGCCACCGCCTGCCTGACCTCACGCTCAGCCCTGCTGCCCAGATTCTAGGTGAGGCCCAGCCTGGCCCGCCGAGGCCGGGGGACAGGGCATGGCTTGAGCTAGTTTGAGGGAGGACTCCCTGCGGCAGGGGTCTGGGGGTCTGGGGGATGCCACCAGCAGCCCACTTTGGGGGACTCCACAGACGGGAATGGGAGGGAGAGGCTTGGGGAGGCAGCTCTGGCTTGAGGCAGGTCCTAGGCAGGCCCTGACGACCAGGCTTCACCTCTGGGGACCCTGGAAGGGGTGTTTAGGAGTCAAGAAACCCCCGAACCTGAGCCCCCAGGCCACACTGAGGAGTGGTCCTTCCATGCACTTAGGCCCAAAGCCAAAGACGGAGGGTTAAAAATAACAGCGTCACTCAGGCGGCCACCTGCGCTGGCCCGTCCCCCCCCCTCAGGGACAGCTGCAGCTCCTCAGGCTATGCCTGGGACATTCTGGGAACACTTTCTCCTCTTACTTCTCACCCTGGGGAATTCCAAGACGTTGTCCTTGAAGGGGGTCAGAGTACGGGATGCGGCGGAAGGGGGGCATCAGCGGGAGGCCTGCACCCTTTACCAGCTACTGGGCGAAGGTGTCGTGGTAGCCAGGCCCGGGCAACACCTCTGCCTTCTTCTCCCCACAGGCTCCAAGCTCAGGACCTCAGGATGGGAGAGTAAGTGTGCCCCCACACAGTGCCCCTGCCACCTCCCACCCCGTCCACCCCATCAGGAATCCCACCCCGACGGCCATGGCCCTAACCTCTCTCTTCTCTCCCCGCCCGGCCTGCATTCTCCCTCCCTGGACAGTGAGGAGGTAAGTACCTGCTGGAGACACAAAACATGGCGGGGAGGGGCTCCCCCAACTCGGGATAGGCCATAGGTTACAGCCTCAAGGCCCTGAGACCCAGGGAAGATGGCCCCTGCCCTCCCTGCTGGCAAAAAGTGCCCCACCCACCCACCAAGAGAGGAAGCGGCTGTGGCATGCCTTCTGGGCAGGGCAAGTGTGGCTGTGGCCTGGTCAAAGGGAATCACTTCTTCTTTCTGATTCCTGCACTTCCCGCCCCCACCTTGCCAGCTGACCTGCCCCAGACTGGCCCTGTGGCCTGACTCCTCTCCCCCAGCCCCTGCCCCCCAGCACCATGTGCCACCTGGGCAAAGTGTCACGCATCACACAGCGCCGTGTCCCAGAGCGAGGTCTGGGCCCGGGGAGGCCCAGCCTCCCCATCATGGCCTCAGGGGCCCCCAGGCTCAGCTGGTCCCTGGGCAGGAGCCCCCAACCTGGCCAGAGAGTGTGGAAGGGGGTGGGGGAGTCCAGGCCTGGAGGCCCTGACTCTGTCCTCTGTCCCTGCCATGCAGAAGCGGAACAGGGCCATCACGGCCCGCAGACAGCACCTGAAGGTAGGTGTGGGCACCTGGGGGGCTGTCTGGGTGGGTCTGCGGGGGTGGGGGAGCCAGCCGCAGCCCCTCACCACCTGCCCCGCTGCAGAGCGTGATGCTGCAGATTGCGGCCACGGAGCTGGAGAAGGAGGAGGGCCGCCGCGAGGCCGAGAAGCAGAACTACCTGGCAGAGCACTGCCCACCGCTGCACATCCCCGGCTCCATGTCCGAAGTGCAGGTACTGCCACCCCCCCGCAGCCGGCCTGCCTGCTGCCTCGGTTTCCCCACTTGTCAAGAGGGCCAGTCGGGTGGTCAGGGCAGGGGCCGGTGACTGTGGCTGCCAAGTGTCAGGACAGCCACCCACCCCACGCCCACCCCTAGGAGCTCTGCAAACAGCTGCACGCCAAGATTGACGCGGCTGAAGAGGAGAAGTACGACATGGAGGTGAGGGTGCAGAAGAGCAGCAAGGAGGTGAGTGCTGGGGGCGGGCAGCGGCCCCCAAGGCAGGTGGGCGAACGGGTAGGGGCAGGGAGCTGAGGCCACCGGGACCTCGGGCCCCCACCTGGCTCCTGTGCCCACAGCTGGAGGACATGAACCAGAAGCTGTTCGATCTGCGGGGCAAGTTCAAGCGGCCCCCACTGCGGAGGGTGCGCATGTCGGCCGACGCCATGCTCAAGGCCCTGCTGGGCTCCAAGCACAAGGTGTGCATGGACCTGAGAGCCAACCTCAAGCAGGTCAAGAAGGAGGACACAGAGAAGGTGCGTGCCACAGGGGAGCACCACCCATGCCACCTCCCTGGGGAGTACCTCCCACACCTGCCTTGTCCCTGGGGAGCACCTCCCACACTCGCCCTGCTATGGGTCCACACTGCCCTGCCAGGTGCCCGGCACCCCTGCCCCTCCAGGGTGCTGTGCAGGGGACAGTCTACTGCCCAATGCAGAGGGGAACCTGAGGCTGAAGGTGGTGTGGACCAGGGTGCGTGAGTGGCTGGGTGGGCCTGAGCTCTCTCCCACCCCCACCCCAGGAGCGGGATCTGCGAGACGTGGGTGACTGGAGGAAGAACATTGAGGAGAAGTCAGGCATGGAGGGCCGGAAGAAGATGTTTGAGTCGGAGTCCTAGGCTCCTCGTCGGCCCGCGCCTGCCCCGGACCCAGCTCCCAGCAGAACACGCCGGGGGCATGCACCAGAGCCTGCCACGGAGGGCTGGCCTCATGTCCACTGTCAATAAAGGATCTGAATCCCCATGGCTGGTCTGGTCTGGCTCTCCCCAGCCTCATTGGCTGTGCCTTGGGCCCCGGCCTAGGTGGCCTGCGGTATGGTCAGTGGCCAGCAGGGAAAGCCTGGGAGGAGGCTGCACGGAGCCTGGGGGTTTCAGCCTGGGAGGGAGGCTGCTTCCAGCAAGGAGCTGAGTCCCGGAAGGCCCTGCAGGGGAATCCACCCACTTGGGGAACGTGGAAGGGTATGCCTGCGCAGTGGGCCGTGGGATCTGGGGCTAGGGATGAGCATGTTGCTGGGGGCCGGTCGGGTCTCTGGTCCTTACTGCCACCCTGAAAGGCAGGCTGTGTCACTCTTCACCACACCAGGGGACCAAGAGACCTGTGCCCACCAGCGACCCCAACCAGGCCCCAGTGTGGCCCCAACTCTCCTTTCTACTCGGCCCCAAGACCCTAGCCCCATCCGGCCGCCAAGGACAGGCTCTGACAGGCTCTGACAAGGCTGATGACAGCAAGGCCGCCTTGCTATCAGCCCCGCTCTTTGAAGGCTGCCAGAGCAGGCATGCCAAGGTCCCCCCGCTCAGATCTTCGCTGAGGAGACTGCCAGCCCGCGCTCTGCCCTTGCCCTCTGGAGGTCTCACTGATTGATCTGCTGGAGGTAGGACGTGCAGCAGCAGTTCCGCCTCGGGCTGCCTTGAGGACTGACGTCAACAGGCGCCCGGGACGGCCTTGGCTGTGTACCGTCCCCCGCCCCGCGGGCATCCTCCAGCCCTGGCATTCAGCTCTGACCTTTACTGCAACCGAAGCCCCGAGCCAGGCTGAACCCCCACCCGGGCCTTCTCCTGGAGCCCCTTGTAGGGAAAGGCCAGGCCACCAGCCTGAAGCAGGGTAGCTTGGGGCCAGGGGAGCACTGCCTGGTGGGTGCAGCTGGGGCAGAGGTACAGGGTGCCCACGCCATGATGATGGGACCAGGTGCAGCCCGGGGTGGAGGGGGTCATGGGGCACAGAAGTGTGGCTTGAGACCTGGCCTGTGGGGGAGACACTGCTCAAGGCCAAGCCTCAGCTGAGCCTGAAGGAAGACAAGCCTGGAGACACAGAGCCAGACAGGCGGGCAGACGCACAGGTGGCAGCGGGGCCTGGCCACAGACCCCCTTGCAGGGGACCCGGCAGCTCTGTGGCACCTGTGCCCACCGGGAAAGAGGCTGGACCCAGTCTCATGGGGTATCAGGGCTGAGGGCAGAGGATCGGGGCAGGAGTTCACACCTGGCTCAACCACAGGATTCCACTCGGCTGGCCGAGGCAGACGCACTATGTGGAAAATCACCTTTTTTTATCTTAAAGCAAGGAGATGTCGAACACAAACACAAAATGTCAAAGAACGATCCCCTGGGGCGGGTGGGGTGGGGGCAGGGCAGGCTCGGAGCAGAGTGAGGACCCCCATGCTGATGTAGGTCTGGGGGAAGGTTTGCACCCCTGGGCTGGATAGCTGCTGTATGGGTGTTGGTTAAATTTCCAATAAATGAGTGAATGAATAAAGGAATGAGTGAAGTGAGGTCTGAAGAAACCAAACCAGCATATCTCAAACTGGCCCCCCTCTGAGCCTGGCTCCATCTCCCTTGGATGATTCTGGTGTCTCTGCTGGAAGAGGCCTGAGGCATGGGGCCGGCGCCCAGCTCTGCATTCTCGAAAGACCTCAGCAGGGTGGAGCACAGCTGAAGTCACCACAAGGTCCAGGGAGTGAGGAATGGAGACGTGGAAGGGGCCGGGTCCCCAGGACATGAGGGACATGAGGAAGCCAGGCCCTTGCTGGGAGCACGGGTGGGCGGGGCTGCCCTCCAGGACTGGAGGAAGTGGCTTTGGGAGGAGGTTGAGGCACTCCCTTTGGGCTGCTGGGTTTGGAGGCCCTGTGGAAATTCCGGCAGAGAGCTGGTCCAGGCAGCTGGAGCAGGGGCGGGGCTGGAGATGGGAATGTGGGTGTCCTGGGTGGTGAGTCCATGGGCAGAGATGCCCAAGGCCAGGGCGAGAGGAGAGGAGGGGGAGGGTGGGGACAGCCAGGGCAGCTAGAGTGGCCACCACGAGCCCCTGGGGAGTCCTGGAAGAGGAGGGGACAGGCCCAGGGCAGGGGATGTGGGCAGCCCTGTGTGAGGCTCTGGAGGTCAGGAAAACATGGCCTCTGAAGTCCCATGTGACCCTGGGCTGTGGCCAGGAAGGAGTTGGGGAAGACCAGGCACAGTAAGCCAAGGAGGGAGGCGGCTGGGAGGAAGTGCATGGGGCACCCCTGGAGATAGAGGGCAGGGGTTACTTGGGAGGCGCAGGGCCAGCGTGGGTGCATCTGCACCAGTGGGCATTTCCTGCTCTGCCACTGAGTGACTGAGACGCAGACTCCCAGTGTCAAGGAGCACACCAGGCTGCAGGCTCGCTTCTCTAAAACCATCCTGCCCTGAAGGACCTGGGCTCCTCGGAAGAGAGGCTGACGGCAGGGCGGGGCGGGAAACGTGCAGGAAGAGCCTGCCATGTCCTTTCTGCCAGGAGGCCCCAGTGACGCAGAGGGCCTGTCCTGCGCCCCCGCTGACGGGAGCAGCCGTCAGGACACAGACCGGCAGACAAGATAACGGCGGTGTCCGTGGTAAACGTGCAGAACTTCACAGCAGCGCTGAGGTCACACAAAAGAACATCTGCATTCCAAGGAAACAGACCTTCAAGTCTTTAGGAGTCAAGGAGGGAGACAGAGAGACAGAGAGACAGAGACAGAGAGACACAGACAGAGAGACAGGGAGACAGGGGGACACAGGGACAGAGAGAGACACAAAGACAGAGACAAAGAGGCAGAGACAGAGACAAGAGATAGACATAGAGAGAGAGACAGAGACAGAGGCAGAGACAGAGACAGAGACAGAGGCAGAGGCAGAGAGACACAGGCAGAGGCAGAGAGACAGAGGCAGAGACACAGAGGCAGAGACAGACAGAGGCAGAGAGAGAAAGAACGAGGCAGAGGTTCAGAGAAACAGAGAGAGAGGCGGAGAGGGGGCGAGGCAGGGGTCAAATGGCAAAGTGGACATGTGCCCTGGGTGAGAGGGGTGCAGATGCACCTTGTCAAATTCTCATTCTTGAAACTTCTCTGAGGGTGAAATTATTTTCCCCAAAGCTAAACTTTTCCTTAAACGTTAAAGCAATAACGTGCGTAAGCAACAACAGAAACAGATGACATGAAAACATGAGTTAACAGAGGGGCCTCGCAGCACTTGGGTGTGGGCAGAAAGGGGTCCAGAGGGCGTGGGGACCTCGGGGGTGGCGGCGGAGACTGAGGCTGAGGGCAGAGGGCAGGACTGGGTACCAGGCCCTGGGTACAGCGCGCTGGCTCCTGGGGGAGCTCCCGATTTCGGAGAAGCCGTTCTTCTGCGTACTTAGGGAGTCGGGGTGGGCCTGGGAGCAAGGCTGGCAGGTCGCCCACCAGGGACGGCGGGAGGGAGGCCTGGGTGCCCTGGGCGTGCTGCATGCTGGGCGGAGCCAGGACCAGGGGGCCCGTGAGGCCTTGTTCTCTCCAACGGGCTGAACTCACAGGCGCTTCCCCCGACCTTCACCCTCATGCACCCAGTCAAGGGGAAGCCAGGAGTGGGGTCCCAGAGGGGGACACAGAGTTTCCCCATGAATGTCCAGCATGGCCCTCAGGGTTTCCCGGGCCCCAGGATCAGGGCTGGGCTTCACCCTCTCTTCGAGCTGCGCCTCACCCCTGACCTGTCCGGCCCTGTGTCCTCTGGTTCCCAGGCACCAGCCATGCCGGGCCCCAGACCCACCTCTGAGGACCAGTACCTGGCTCTAGCCATCTTTGGAAAACTGAGCCCGGCGCTCACCAGGGCCTTACCGCCCCACTCCTCGGCTCCGGCTCTCACCAGACAGCCCCGGAGCCCGGGGTTAGAGCTGCCTGTGGCTCAGCCCCATTCCACCCTGATGGGCTGCCCGGCCTTAGTTTACCTAGATGTACAATGAACTTGGAGATGAGAGTGCCTGCCTCACTGGACCACAGGGTAGGCAGAGACTCAGCTGGCACCTCCTCCTCGCCGGGTGTGCCCCTCAGAGTCAGCCCGGCTCTCCCCCAGCCCCAGCAAGTCCCAGCTCGGCGCCCCGGACCACCCCGCTGCTGAATGTCACACCAGGACCGCCAAGCCTGCCTCCACCCCAGGCCTGGAAGCTTCTCCCCAGACTCTCCCTGCGGCCATCTCCTTCTCACCCTACAGTTACAGCATGGTCACCTCCTCCGAGAAGCCCTCCATGAGTCCCTGCCCATCTCTGTGACTTCTCCCGGTTATTTTCCAGAATGACCATGGACTTATTTTTTTTTCCATTTGTTCACTGTCTGTCTCTTTCCCTGGGAGGGAAACTCCATGAAGTCGAGGACTTGGGGTTATCTGCAGCCGTGTCACTGCTGCTGGGGCGAGGAGCTAGCGCACAGCCATGGAGGGGACCTCGGCGGGGGCACAGGGTCTGCATGAGCATTGTCTAACAGTCCCTGCAGGACGCCAGGGCCACTGTGCACACTGGAGTCATCTGGCAGCCACCGTTCCCTGCTGTGCGGGGCCATGCCGGAAGCTCCCCCCACCCCACCCCACTCCCCACCCCATCCATCCCCTGGTTGCTTCCGCCCTCCTGCAAACACCTCCGCCCCTTTACAAACACTGTCTGACCCCAGGGCCTCTCCCTCTCCAGGCCCCTGTCACCTCCACCTCCTCACCTCCCCCTCCCATCTCCCATTGCTCCCCCTCCCTGCCAGGCTGCTCCTGACCCCCTGTCCCTCCTGGAGCCATCAGCCATCCGGAAGGTCTGGGTCCTCGAAGGCTCCAGTCTCTGTGGCTGCTCCTCCAGCAGGCCACTGCGAGTCAACACGGCACTGGGCCAGGCTCTGATTCTGTGAGCTGCCTCCCTCTGATCCTCCCCTCTGCTCCCTCCACTGAGCCCCCGAAATCTCTTCCTCACACCCCAAATTGCCTGGGACCCCACCTCAAACCAGAGGCCATGGGGCTGAACCCAGTTAT